TGCCATTGCTCGATTATCTGTGCAAACAAGTTTGGTTTTGTTCCTTTTTATGCCTGTTAATTTTGAGTGTTTTTACGCACGCACCAGCGTTTTCAAGCTCGATCACTATAGCCAGGCTACGCTGATGCCGCTTGGCACCCGAGTTTCTGCCTAAAGGTTGGTAAACACAATGCACAATGCCTAAAGATTGCTAAACTCCATCCCACGCCGCATTATTAAAGCTAAGCGGACTTCGAGTGCCCTTTGGGGAAACCAAGAGCACAAAAGCATAGCGCGTACCATACGCCCTTCGCTTTACGTGCACTCCCGATCGTCGAAAGTCCACGGACGTACGACGGATGGACGGACGGATGGATGGATGAATAGATGGATGGTTGAATGGATGGATGAATGGATGGATGGATGGATGATGAATGAATGAATGGATGGATGGATGGATGGATGGATGGATGGATGGATGGATGGATGGATGGATGGATGGATGGATGGATGGATGGTACGAGCGTCCCCTTTATGAAGAGGTAGTGACATGTGTGCCACCAGGCTCGCAAGAAAATTTAAAAAAAGCTTTCTTTTATGTTGGCCAAATACTTTACTTATTAATTTTGGTGATGAGCTTTAATTGTGCTTGCAATAACCTTTTATTGTAGGGTGCTGATCGCACTACAACGAAATGTTTTTAGTAGTATATCATGACACCTCGGGATTTTAATTGTTTTTATAAAAAGAAAAAAACATGGAATGAGAGAGAGTGAATTACAGCTTCAGTCGCCATTCACAACTGTTATATTGGGCAAAATTTACAGACACACCCATGTGCTTACGTTTGGTTGGTTGATTGATTGATTGATTTGTGCGGTTTAACGTCCCAAAACCACCATTTGATCATAAGAGACGCCGTAGTGGAGGGCTCCAGAAATTTCGACCACCTGGGGTTTTTTAACGTCCACCCAAATCTGAGCACACAGGCCTACAACATTTCCGCCTCCATCGGAAATGCAGCCGCCGCAGCCGGGATTTGATCCAGCGACCTGCGGGTCAGCAGTCGAGTACCTTAGCCACGAGACCACCGAGGCAGGGCTGATTACATTTGGGTTGGCTTTGAAGCATCCAGATGATCAAAATTAATTCAGACGCATGCCTCTATAATTTCTATTTTCACTGATTCAGTGTTGGTATATTATTTCACGCAAAACATCGACCTTCTTTTCACAATACCTAGAGTGGTTCTGTGGTGTTGTTATACACTGACGGGAAGAGGGGGCATCCTTCACCTGAAAAAAAAAAGGAAATCTATCAAATCAAATAACCGAACCTCCATTGCATCGCTCACTGTCATGCAGATAATGAATCGAAGAAAGCTACCTGCTCAACTGCTTTCTTTTTGTACCCTATTTATAGCAAGAATCGGCGCGCTAAAGCACTGTCAGCCATGTGTCTTTCTTGAATACACTTATCAACTGTCCAAAGTAAATTTGACGTAGAAGTGACGTAGAAAAAAATGTGGAGAAGTATTCGCGGTTATTTTAACTCATCGCCAAATAACATGAAATTTTGTTTTCTTTTTCTAGTACCCAGTTTGCATGAAGTAAAGAAATAATTAAGTCGGACTATAACAGGGCTGAGTAGGTGGGACACAAGCCCAACACTTATAAGTAGATATACAATAAACGTGACATAGTGCAAAAATGTAGACAGTCGCCAAGCGTAAACGTCCCTTTCACAAACAGATTGCCTTACTCTTACAAGTAATGTTAACGTTCAGCTAGCTTTGTGCATCCAATCGGCAATAGACGACATACATAGTAGGCTGTGGACAACGCATTTTATTCCCCGACAATCCACTCAGAACGCTCACAACAACGCGTTGCTGCGTACAATTCTATGCCTGCTGTCGACCGCCTATCAACACTCGCGTGGTGACGGTGCGGCCACCTAATGCCCGATCTCGGGACAAATAGACAGATTTTTTTTTCGTCGAGAAATGATAAAAGAGTGATATGTTTTGCCTCTTGTTGTATGTTGGCAGGGTCTCCTCATAGAGCCTTCATAGAGTGGACATCGAATTTCAGGTGAACCCTTTTCGAGGTGTTGGGGAACCCCCTTCATCTTTGCAATGGATATTTGTACAGGCGTACAGCAGTGTTACACGATGAAGTTTTGCTTGAAACTGGAGATAAAACTGCACGTCAGACTTAGGACACGATAAAGACTGCCCATGTTGAAGTGTTTTTGAGTGGCACAATGTATTTTGTTACGGAAGAGAGCAAGTTGAAGAGCAGCAATGGTCAGGAGGCCCTTCAGCAGCTACAAGTGATGGTGAAAATTTGAAATCTTTTGAACTGTAACCACAGCTTGAGTGTATGAATAACATCAAAACAAACAACTTCATGAAAGACTATTGTGCATGACCTTATGGCTGAAAACTTGGAAGTGAGAATAGTTTGTGAGAAACTGATGGATCACGAACGCTGCATCACGACAATACGTCGAGTCACACCACTTGTGTTGGAAAGGACTGCCTGGCAAAACCTGGCATCACCCAGTTTGTCATTCCATTGCACTTCTTCCCCTTGTCCCGAATGAACAGAGTTGTGAAAGTGTGGCACTATGGCTCAGTATATGCAATGAAGAGCTCGTAATAAGGGAGTTCAAGACAATTATTTTTTGTTGTTCCAGGAAGCCTTCAGTGAGTTCCGAGTCGCTGAAAAGCTTTTGTGACGCAGAAGAGCCATAATCCAACACACACACACACACACACACACACAAACACCCACACACACACACACACACACACCACATATATATATATATATATATATATAATATATATATATATATATATATATATATATATATATAATATTTCAACCACTTTTCTTTGTTCTGATTTACATTACGTTGATTCTAATAACTTCCTCTATACAATCCTGGCATAATTGTCTGTTAGATCTCATTATTATTGTGTCAGAACACGAAAAAAAACGAGCATATATATATATAATATATATTATATATATATATATATATACATATATATTTCAACCACTTTTCTTTGTTCTGATTTACATTACGTTGATTCTAATAACTTCCTCTATACAATCCTGGCATAATTGTCTGTTAGATCTCATTATTATTGTGTCAGAACACGAAAAAAAACGAGCATATATATATATATATATATATATATATATATATATATAAATGACAACTAACAGACAATAATGCCGAGGAAGGTATAGGGGAAGTTATTAGGCCAATTGTAAGGTAAATGAGAAGAAAGAAAAGTAGGTGAAAAGATAACTTGCCGTGGGCAGGATCCTGTATACGGGGGACTATTGGTCAGCTGCCAGTAAGTAATAAGTTCACGTGCTAAGTGACGCCAAACAGGCTCATAAAGAGTGTACCACACTCGCCGCCATGGCTACTAGTGGCGCTGACTGACACTCCCACGTTTAAATTGACATAGATACCCAATAAAGTGGCTGGGGGATAGCTGTCGTGGTAGCTTAGTGGTAGAGCATCGAACGCCTTATTGAAGGTCGCAGGTTCGGATCCTGCCCAGGGCAAGTTATCTTTTCACCCACTTTTCTTTCATCTAATTTACATTACAATTGTCCTAATCACTTCTCCTATACCTTCCTTGGCATTATTGTCTGTTAGATCTCATTAATATTGTGTAAAACACGAAAAACGAGCCCTTAGGTATACCCTTGGTTTCCTTATTCATTAACGAGGGTCTCGTACTGGCAGACTTGGTGCCTCTAGGTTGTATACGGGGGACTATTGGTCAGCTGCCATTAGTAATAGGTTCACGTGCTACGTGACGCTAAACAGGCTCATATAGAGTGTACCACACTCGCCGCAATGGGTACTAGTGGCGCTGACTGATACTCCCACGTTTAAATTGACATAGATACCCATAAAGTGGCTGGGGGCATAGCTGTCGTGGTAGCTCAGTGGTAGAGCATCGAACGCGTTATTCGAAAGTCGCAGAATCGGATCCTGCCCACGGCAAGTTATCTTTTCACCCACTTTTCTTTCTTCTCATTAAATTACAATTGTCCTAATAACTTTCCTTTTGCCTTTCTTGGCATATTGGCTGTTAGATCTCATTAATATTGTGTAAAACACGAAAACCGAGCCCTTAAGTATACACTTGTTTTCCTTTATATATATATAATATATATATATTATATATATATATATATTATATATATATATATAAATATGAGGGTATATAGTGTATGCTTAAGAGATCACTTTTCCGTGTTTCGACACAATATTAATGAGATCTAACAGACAATATTTCCAAGGAAAGTATAGGCGATGTTATCAGACCGAATTATAATGTGAATGGGAAGACAGAAAAGTGTGTGAAAACATAACTTGCCGAGGACAGGAACCGAAGCTACGACGTTCGAATACGCGTTCGATGCTCTACCACTAACTACCACGATGGCTATCTTCCCAGCCACTTTATTGCGCATGTTTATTTGTCGCATACTGGGAAGCAGCCCCCGCTTCGGGGGAGCGTTAATTGAAAGACTCCGCGGCGAAGAGGGGGAGGAGGGGCAACTCGGAGGGACTCGTTTTCGGGTGGTTCGCGTGACGGGCAATGCGAAAGGAGCGAAGGGCGTCCTTGACATCTGTTTTTACCTACAAGCCCAGCCGTGAAGGGAAAAGGGGGTGAGGGCCACAATGACCCTTCTCGAACACGCGGAAAGCGTTTTGTCCATCTGTCCTTGAAGACCGTCGCACGTGCGGGGTGCGGAGGAAACTCTTTGACAATACTTGTGCTTCTCTGTTTGCTTTTCCTTTTTTTCTTCCCCTCTCTACGACAGCGGTACATAGCGAACGAATAAACCAGTCTTCGTGATGCGTTCAAACTGAAAGGACGTGTTTTTTTCTCTGTCGTCGTCTCACTAGAAAAAGTCTGCCTCCCTGCTATTCCGCTACAACATTTTTTGGTGCCGAAACCGGGAATTAGGGACCCAAAGATGGACATCGACAGGATGAAGCGCAAAAGGGCCGTGGTGCGAACGTCAACAACAAAGCTGCTCAATGACATCGCTACCATGGAGGACGACGCGTCACTCGGTGAGCTTGAAGAAAAGATCAACCTTCTCACCCTTAAGGAAGACTCACTCAAAGAGCTAGATCGGGAATTGAGATTGGCGTAGAAGATGATGCATTAGAAGAGGAATTGCATGCTCCGAGAACTACAAAGAAAAGATCAACGTAGCAAGGACTAAAGTACAGCTCATGCTACGTGAGCTTAGCTGCACTAACGCCGCATCAGTGAGCGCTTCGCTAGATCGCACCTCAAGTTCCTCAGATCAAAGAGAATCTAGCCGTAACATCCCGCAAGTAACCCCCACAGTAAAGCTGCCAAAACTAGAGATAGCAAAGTTCAACGGCGAGCTTCGACAGTGGCAAGGCTTTTGGAGTCAGTTCGACACGACAATAAACGCTAACCACCACCTGTCAAACGTGGACAAGTTCAAGTACCTGAACAGTTACTTAACAGGAAAAGCAGCGGCTGCTGTTGCGGGTCTTGATTTGTCCGACGGAAACTACGAAGTTGCTCTCTCGCTGTTAAAGGAAAGGTTCGGTCGTAAAGAAGCCATAATCGAGGATCACATGTCCAGACTGCTCAATATCAAGTCAGTGCGTGACTCGCGGAACCTCAGCCAACTTCGGAGCCTCGTTGACGAAGTAGAGAGAGGTGTACGGAGCCTCACTTCTCTTGGCGTCGGTGTCAGCACGTACGGAGCTCTGCTCCTGACAGTAGTAAAGAAGGCGGTGCCTGCGGACCTTCATCTCGAATACTGTCGACGAAAGGGCGCTACTACAGGAGGCAATGAACTGGAGGCATTTGCGCATTTTTTGAGAGTCGAGGTAGAGGCACGGGAGATTATACAGCGGGCCGAAACACCAAGGGGCATGTGTGTAGAATCGTCTGTCGAAAACCGTAACAGCACCTTTAAAGCGGCGAGAATGTCTTCAGCCGCTGCACTGCATACCATGACCAAGGAGAGAAAAGGGTGTCTGTTTTGGTTCGTCAGGGTGCCACGAAAGCGGTGACTGCGATGCAGAGATGTCGGCAGCTGATAAAAGGAAATGCTGAAGCGTGAGAAATAGATGTTTCCGCTGCACAGTAAAGGGGCACACGTCAAGAGAGTGCCGGTAAGGCCAAATGGCTCAGGTGTGCCACACTGTAGCGGAAAACACCTCACGGCTATGTGTGATCCTGATTTCAGAGAATACCGTGGGCAGTGGTGAACAGAATGCATCCTCTCCAACAGCGACAGGACAAGCCACAGTGCTAAAGTCTTCTCTAGGCTCGAGGAGAAATTATGTGCATGGAGGGGCATCAGTTTCTTCTGCAAACAGCACGAGCTTGGACAGTGGGACCGCACAAAAGTACGCTTGTCAGGCTTCTCCTAGATGGTGGCAGTCAAAGGGACGTTCATCCATCGCAAGTTGTCTGAAAGACTGCAGTTGAACGTGCTTGGGGAAGAGGAACTTAAAATCTATTCCTTCGGCGACAAGTCCGCTATAACCCGCACTAAGCGCGTCTGGTCGAGCTGTGGCTGCAAAGCCAGTACGACGGGAAAAGGGCGCGGAGTGGAGGCCCTCGAAGTTCCCTGCATCTGCGCAGATATAATGGCTGCGCCTTTAAAGTCAGTTCTTCTGGAACTTTCGAAATTTGGCTTGCCAGTCGCGGACGTCGCGCAGGGGTGACGGAAGTGAAAACATTGATCTTCTGATCGGCGCTGATCATTATTGGGAAATTGTCACGGATCCACTAAGCGCCTAACCTCCAAGCTGATGGCAGTAGAAACTGCATTTGGGTGGACAGTCCAGGGCCAGGTAGGCGCAAAAAGGTCACCAGGAGTCTGTCCCTCTGTTGCTGGCGTAATGCGAGTAGCAGTGAGCGAACAAACTAACAAAGAAATATCAGGCACAGTTGAGGTCATTCTGGGAGCTCGAACACTATTGGTATCAAGGAACACGAACCAGCTCGCCACCAAGACGCAATCCAACAGCACTACAAAGAAACCGTCAAATTTGAGCATGGGCGGTACACAGTGTCTTTCCCCTGGAAGCCTATGGTTGATGAGCTCGACGACAACCTACGAGTGCGCCGCGAAGCGTCTTAGAGCCAACACGACGCGCCTTTTGAAGGGAGATTCCTTGATCGGGAATATGACGCCTGCATCCGAGAATACATCGAAAAGGGCTATGCAGAGCCAGCCAACAAGGCATTGCAGCGCTTCGGAAGGTCCGGTGTATTACATGCCACATCAAGCAGTTGTTCGACAAGAAAGCCTGACAACAAAAGTGAGGGTGGTGTTCGACGCATCATCAAGTGCCAAAGATCGCCTCTCACTGAATGATGTTTTGGAAAGTGGTCCAAAACTTAATCCAGAGCTCATTGATTTGTTGATCAACTTCCGCACTTACAACATCGGCATCGTCGCGGATATTGAAAAGGCATTCCTTCAAATATCTCTGTCAGAGGGTGACCGGAACGCTGTGCGGTTTCTCTGGTATGCTGCCACTCCGAAGAAAGGTGAAGAACTTCCAGCGGTGGCGGCCTACCGGATGACGCGCGTTCCGTTCGGTGTTACATCCAGCCCATTCCTATTAGCCGCAACATTACGACACCATCTTGAAGGACTCCCAGAGCAGTATGCTGAGACTGCGAACATCCTGCGCAGCCATCTCTATGTTGACGACCTTGTGACAGGGGTCGACACCCTCGAACAGGGTAAAGTGCTATGCCAGGAATCAAGCGATATATTATCTCAAGCAGGAATGCGGCTCCACAAGTGGATGTCTAACGACCACGATTTAGTCAACTTCATAGAGGATGGGAACGTGGCGAAGAGGAATGCAAATGCCGAACTTCCTGCAGCCACCAAGGTATTGGGAGTAGGTTGGAATGCTCATACAGATAACTTCGAGTACAATCTGACCTCACTTCTTGAATTCCTCACCACAAGAGCCGACAGCAAGAGATTCGTATTGCAAGTCTCAGCCAGAATTTTCGACCCCTTGGGTTTATCGCTCCTACAACACTGTACGTAAAGACAATGTTCCAAAGGTTGTGGGAGTTGGGAGCGGGTTGGGACGACCCCTTGCCAGAATTGATGCAAGCGGAGTGGAAGTGCTGGTGTGAAGAGCTTCAATGCATCAAGGCGGTGTCCATTCCGAGGATCATCGCAAGGGATTTCCGAGATGAAAAGACAGAGAAGGTGTTGCACATTTTCTGCGATGCCAGCCCAAAGGCCTACGGTGCTGTCGGATACGTTGCATGCAAGTCTGCTCAAGGAATAATCAATATAAGCCTAATTATGGCCAAATCAAGAGTTGCCCCTTTGAAGCGCCTCTCGTTACCCCGACTAGAGCTGATGGGGGCCCTCATTGGTGCTCGACTGTGCCACTACGTTGCCAAGGCCTTGAACCTCCAGAATGCTGCTGCCATCCTTTGGACCGATTCCACAGTGGCTATGCACTGGATTAAAGGAAACGCTGCCAGATGGAAGCCCTTCGTGGCAAAACCGAGTATCAGAGGTTCAGGCGCTGACTGATCCCGAGGATTGGAGGCACTGCCCAGGACTAGACAACCCCGCTGACCTAATCACTCGCGGTATCCTCCCATCAGCCTTGTTAGAAAGCGAATTGTGGTGGAGAGGACCACACTGGCTTCACAAGGATAAGACGCATTGGCCAACGACCGGTGAGCAGAGCCCAGGGGCAGTAGAATGTCACCTGGAAGAGCGAAAAGGTGCGGTGATGCCCGTAGTATCATCGCCGTTCGAGGCGGTGCTGAAAGTAGAGGAGTTCAGCTCATGCAGCAGAGTCGTGCGCTTAACTGCGTGGGTCCGCCGCTTTGTCAACAATTGCCGCCGCGGGAAAGAAAGGAAAGGTGGTCCGCTACGAGCTGAAGAGGTGATCGATGCTGAGAGTGGTACTGGTTGGCAACAACTCAAGGAGAAGCATCAGTGACGACATTTCCAACCTTGGAAGCCCAAAGACCACTGCACAAAGGCTCTCCTGTTCTGCCACTCAGTCCGTACCTTGACGGGGAAGGTCTCATGCGAGTTGGTGGACGCTTGCAATTCACCGACAACCACGAAGAGACTAAACATCCATCATTCTACCTAGCACTCATCCCTTCACGCTACTGCTCATAAGGAAAGAGCACGTGAGAATGCTACACTCAGGGTTGTGCGCGACACCTTGGCGTCATTGCGAGAGTCGTATTGGATCATCCGAGGGCGCAGGCCGTAAAAAAGGTTATCAAGCAGTGCCTCATCTGTCGCAAACAAAGTTACCCTCAAGCCACGGAACCAGTGGCACCACTTCCAGCTGACAGAGTAACAGAAGGAAATCCGTTCGACACTGTCGGCATCGATTTCGCAGGACCTGTGATTTGTCAAGAGTCGCGCGGTGCCCGAAAATGTTACATCGCAATTTTAACCTGCGCTGTGACACGTGCCGTCCATCTTGAGCTCGTTAGCGACATGTCGACTACAGCCTTTCTCCTGGCTTTCAAGCGCTTCGTGGCTCGCAGGGGAATCTGCTCGACTATTTATTCGGACAACGCGCTAACCTTCAAGAGAGCAGCAAAAGATCTGAATGCAATGTTCACGCTACTAAATCAGAGGAAATGCAGTCATACTTCGCCGGAAACCAGATCAGGTGGAAGTTTATTGTTGAAAGGGCAAGCTGGTGGGGCGGATTCTGGGAACGGTTGGTGCGATCGGTGAAGGTAGCGTTGCGCAAGGTGTTAGGTCGGAAGCAGTTTAAGCTTTGAAGAACTCACAACTGTCTTGTACGAAGTCGAGGCCGTAATAAACTCACGCCCATTGACTTTCACCTACGATGATGCTCAAGAGCCAGAACCACTGTCGCCGGCGCACTTCCTCGTCGGAAGAAAGCTGACAACCCTTCCTCCACACCACCTGCCAGCCGAAATTCCGGGCGGTGACGCGCATATCTCACGACGCTGGAAGTACCGGTCTGCCATGGCTGAAGGATTCTGGAGACGGTGGCGGAGAGAGTACTTATTGGAGCTTCGATCGGCGCATCTGTCCCGGCCAACGACATCGAGTGACCTAAAGATAGACGATTTAGTTCTTTTAAAGGAAGATCATCTCAAACGACACATGTGGAAGATCGCCAGAATCAAGGAAACGTTCAAGGGCAGGGACGGCAGGGTGCGGGCCTGCAGTTTGAAACTAAGCGGGGGAACGGTGGTGGAACGACCAATACAGCTGCTTTATCCGCTAGAAGTCGACCGACAATGAGCTCAAGAGTTCGCTCATCCGGGGGAGGTTGTTGTATTTGTCGCATACTGGGAAGCAGCCCCCGCTTCGGGGGAGCGTTAATTGAAAGACTCCGCGGCGAAGAGGGGGATGGAGGGGCAACTCGGAGGGACTCGTTTTCGGGTGGTTCGCGTGACGGGCAATGCGAAAGGAGCGAAGGGCGTCCTTGACATCTGTTTTTACCTACAAGCCCAGCCGTGAAGGGAAAAGGGGGTGAGGGCCACAATGACCCTTCTCGAACACGCGGAAAGCGTTTTGTCCATCTGTCCTTGAAGACCGTCGCACGTGCGGGGTGCGGGAGGGAAACTCTTTGACAATACTTGTGCTTCTCTGTTTGCTTTTCCTTTTTTTCTTCCCCTCTCTACGCCAGCTGGTACATAGCGAACGAATAAAACAGTCTTCGTGATGCGTTCAAACTGAAAGGACGTGTTTTTTTCTCTGTCGTCGTCTCACTAGAAAAGTCTGCCTCCCTGCTATTCCGCTACAACAGCGCATATATGTGACTTTAAATGTAGGAGTGTCAGTCAATGCCATCAGTAGCCGTGGCGGCGAGTGTGGCACACTCTTAATGAGCCTGTATGGCGTTACGTAGCACGTGAACAACTTATTACGAGCTGGCAGCTGGCGAATAGTCCCTCGTATGTACACATATATATATATATATATATATATATATATATATATATATATTATATATATATATATATATATATATATATATATATATTCTCTATTGTGCCTCTTGTTTCTCTTCTGCCTTGCTCTTCTAACTACCCGCGCCGGAGTTCCTGCGTGTTTCTTGGTAATGACAGTCGGCTATGACTGCACGCGCGTGGAGCTGTTGACAGTTTCTCTGGTGGGCAGGGTTGGCTGAATCACGGTGGTAGGTCTCGGCCACACAGCAAGTTGTCTGCTGGATCTGCAAGTGGGTCTAATGGTCAGTCACACTGGTATCCGGGAAATACAACTGTCGATGACGACTTTGGCGGGTGATACTGGCTGTGCCTGAGTGGTCTTGCTTCGGCCCGCCACGACAGGTTGTGTTGAAATGTTGAAATCTCAGGTATCTGGCATTGGCGACATCTTTGCAGTCACAGGTATTGGCCCCGTTTCAGCTTCGCTGGCATATTTGATGCCCGCCCTGGCGGTCGACATTTACCGTGGCATAGTGGCTGCTGGTCTCGGTTACACTGGCATCTGACATGTGTAACTGCGGATGGTGACTTAGCAAGGTGTGTCAGTTGTCGGACGCGTCTCCGCAGCTTCAAACGAGTGCATCCACTTCCTGTTGATGCGCTCCCACCACATGAGCAAGCCGGTAATATACCGCGCTGCCGAAACAGGGGCGTGGCATTGTTTCAGGGCCGCGCAGTAGGGCCACGTGTCAGAGGTCGAACAGTTGCAGTCTTGCCTCCAAGTTGGCAGTAGAATGCATAGGCATGTGAGTTATAAACAGATCTGGCCCTTCCATGGGGCCAAGCACTGTCGAGTTTGGACCCTGCCACATGCTGTGACTTGTAGGTGGTCTGCTCTGGTGTAAGAAGTGGTAACGTAGTCTCTACCATTTGTGGCAGAGAGCAAGGCAGAGATGTTGATCGGTTTGTGTATGCCGTAGAATATTCTGAGACGTCTTCACTGGTGTGACTGCAGCGGGTATTTTCCGCGCCGAGGATATGACCCTCTGGTTTTCAGCAGCGAGCACAGAAAGGGATGGCTCCGGTTCTCTGGCAGTACAGGAAGCCAATGACTCCATATGCCCGTGATGTGTGGATCTTGGAGGCGACTTTGCCAGAGTGCTGGGGCTCGAGCGTGGCCCTGCAGTGTTTTGTCCGTCGTCGGCCTAAAAGGCAGCGATGACAGAGAGAGAGAGAGAGAAGAAATGTCGGAAAGGTAGGGATGTTAACTAGACTATGCGTCCAGTTTGCTACCCTACACATGGGGAGGGGGAGAGGGGAGAAAAAAAGAGAGAGAAGGATAGACACATGTCACTTCACACACAGAATGCCGAGTTTCACAGGTGGTCCCTCAATGAAGTTGCTGTCAAGTATCTCAGGAGGGCTCGTGTGGCTTTCTGTGCTGATGTGCGGCGCGACCAGGCTCCCAAGATCTTTGCTTCATTAAATGGCCGGTCATCGAGTCTATTCAAGGCACACTGGAGAGTCCGGCGATCTTCATAAAATTGGGCACAGTGGCACAAGAGATGTTCAATAGTTTGCAGCTTTCACACATGGATGAGTCTGCCATGCCAAGGCGATGGCTGAATGACTTAGTAAACGCTACACCAGACCACAGCCAGCACAGCACTGTAGCGTCACGTCGAGAAATCCTCGATGGCAGTTATTTCTGGAGTAATGACTTAAGGTTCTTAGGCGATGATTGGAGTTGAGTGGAGAATTCCAGTGCGCAAGCGTGGCATTATGCGCAATGTGATGAAGTTCTCTAGCTGCGTCTACTCTTGACAAGGCTATTAACAGTATGGGCGCTCCATCGTGGGCACATCGGGCAGCGTCGTCGGTGAGATGGTTACCACTGATGCCATGGTGGCCCGGCAACCATTGTAAAACAATGTCGTGTCCTTGTTCAGCGGCGCGATGACAAATTTCATTAATACGATACACTATCTGGTGGTAATTTCCACGTCGTAGACTTCGCACGCATTGAAGGGCTGCCTTGGAGTCGCAGATTATGGCCCGTCTACTAGGTGATTCTTGCGTAACAAACTCCACAGCGGCTCAAAGAGCGGCGAGCTCGGATTCCGTAGATGTCGTGACGTGCGATGTCTTGAATTTGACGGAGATTGATTGAGATGGTATGACAAAGGCACCTGTCGAACTTCCCGAGACCGAACCGTTCGTGTAAACATGAAATCGGTTAGCATACAACAAATTCAAAAGGTCCGGCGAGTTATGCTTGAGGGCTGCAGATGACAGGCTTGGCTTTTTAGATATCCCCGGCACTTCAAGGTCCACAGTGGGTCTTTTCATGCACCACTCTGGAGATAGTGGTATGGTTGTGGACGAGAATCTCCACAAGATAGAATTCTCGTTATCTACAACAACTTTGGAAAACGCTGCCATTGGTCTTTCTAGTGGCAAGCTAGCAAGGTGGTGGTTAGGCACTTTGGATATGTGACGGATATGTGTCCGGAGTGTGTCGACAGTTATATATGCCGTGATCAGATGGTCTTTAGCAATACCGATTGTTACTAACGTAATAGCGCACCGAGGTAGCCCCAAGCATGTGCGGAGAACTTGGCCTTG